CAGTCAAACTGCAGTGTCTCACCACATCCCTTCTCATCCATGCTGTCTATCCAAAATTTTTTTCAGACTCTCTTTTATCCTGCACAGTTACTTGCTGAATTCACACCCCCTGAACTTTTTTTTTTTCACTGACTTAAGGGCAATTGCTACACCTGCACCTTACTCCACAGTTACTGTTACACACCACCTGCCACGTGGAAAACTGCAGCCTGATTTCCCCCGGGTTTCCCTCTGACCCAGAAGATAAAACTCAGCTCTATCACAGCTGTGCAGCTGGACTGGTTTCACATCCAAGTTTCACCTACAAAACTCCCACGAGCTTTACACGCCGAGATTTCAGAAGCACTAAATCTGCAGGAGCCAGTCTGCCACCTCAGCAAACCTGTTAAAGGTTTGTTTTTTATGTATTATTGCTCACTTCAAGCTGCACCATCACCGGGAGCAGCTCCCGGGTGCCCTAAAGCACACGGCCCGGCACACAGCCCCGCTGTGGAGACTGACTCGGAAGGAGCCGCAGCCCAGGCAGAGCGCGATTCCACAACCCAGGAAAGGCAGCGGGCCCGTTTTATCCAAACCTTAACCCAGGAAAGCCAGCGGGGCTGTTTTATCCAAACCATAACCCAGGAAAGCCAGCTGGCCCGTTTTATCCAAACCTTAACCCAGGAAAGGCAGCGGGGCCGTTTTATCCAAACATAACCCAAGAAAGGCAGCGGGCCCGTTTTATCCACACCGCAACCCGGGAAAGCCAGCGGGCCCGTTTTATCCAAACCAAACCCTCACCGGCCCAGTGCCCGCCGTCCCTGCCCGCCCGGGCCCTGCGAGCCCCGCGCTGCCACCACGTCCCCCCGCCGCCCACGGGGCCGGGCCTGCCACGTCCCCCCGCCGCCGCCGCCGCGCAGGATGCTCTCCAGGCCCAGGCTATCGCCGAGGCCGCCGGGCTGCGGCCCCGCCGGCCGCTCGTTCTCCTTGTTGTCCTTGCCGTCCTTGTGCTCCTTGTTCTCCTCCGCCCCGGCCCCGCGGCCGCCGCCGCCGCCTCCCTGACGCTCCGCCGCCATCTTGCACCGGGGCCGCGGAGCATCACGGGCCGGGGAGCGGCGCGAGCGGCCGCGCGGGGGCTGCCGGGAACGGGGAGGACCCGGGGGGAGCCCGGGAACGGGATCGGGAACGGGAGAACCGGGATAGGGGGAACAGGGAGCGGAATAGGGGGGATCCGGGACAGGGAACGGGAACTGAGGGACAGAGAACGGGATCGGGAAGGACACGGGGGGAGCCTGGGAACAGGGGAACCGGGACAGGGATCGGGGTCCCTGCGGGCTCCCGGGGCTGGGCCCCACCGGGGTGCGGATGCAGCCCCGCCCGGCCCGGCCCCGCTCATCCATCCCGGCCGAGCCCCAGCTCCGACACAGCGCTGACCCCAAACAGCCCCAGGGCCACCCAGCCACCCCAAAAGTGACCCCAAAACAGCCCCAGGGCCACCCAGCCACCCCAAAACTGACCCCAGACAGCCCCAGGGTCACCCAGCCACCCCAGAACTGACCCCAAAACAGCCCCAAGGTCACCCAGCCACCCCAAAACTGACCCCAAAACAGCCCCAGGGTCACCCAGCCACCCCATTGCTGACCCCAAAACAGTCCCAGGGTCACTCACCCACCCCAGAACTGACCCCAAAGAGCCCAGGGCCATCCACCCACCCCAAACAGCCCCAGGGTCACCCAGCCACCACAGAACTGACCCCAAAACAGCCCCAGGGTCACCCAGCCACCCCAGAACTGACCCCAGGCAGCCCCAGGGTCACCCCCCACCCCAGAACAGCCCCAGGGTCACCCAGCCACCCCATTGCTGACCCCAAAACAGTCCCAGGGTCACTCACCCACCCCAGAACTGACCCCAAAGAGCCCAGGGCCATCCACCCACCCCAAACAGCCCCAGGGTCACCCAGCCACCCCAGAACTGACCCCAGGTCACCCCCCGGGTGCCCCCGCTCCTGGCCGTGCCGTGGCAGTCCCGGGAGCCTCTCCCTCCATCCCGGTGCCCTTCCCGGGACACTGCGAGCCCGCAGCCCTTGGCAGAGGGGCTGTGGCTGCCCCCGGGCTCAGCACTAAGAACAAACCCTCCACCTCCGGTGCCTTAACCCCCTGGGGGGAGAAGAGACTGCCCTCACCTCACCTAACCCCGGAGCTGTTTCATGGTGTGAGCACTTAAAACCAGGGCCTTTGCTCATGGGGTTGGGCACCTCATTCGGGACAAACACCAAATTTATTTGAGCACCTAATGGTAATATTTACATAAACCCTTGTAATACAAAATGCTCCAAGAGCTGCTGGTGCCCCCAGACCCGTCTTTACCAGCCCTGGGCTCTGCCTGCCTGGCTGCACTCTGCTGTCACACTACCAGGAGCAATTTGGCTCTTCTCCCCTTCCAAGGGCTCAGCCGTGACCTGTTATTCCTGATTTCAAACTTCTACTTTCCTCTCACAGACAGCAAAGCTCAAAGGGGAAATAATAATAATAAAAGAAATAAAAATCAACCATGTCCTCAAGTGGCAGCTTTCTGTGCACATCTTTTAAACTCTCTGCTCCAGGCTCCAAATGCATCTCCCAGGGATTCATTCCCTATCTGAACCAAACCGTGCTCCAGGATGATGCTGAACTAAGCAGGCACAGCAATTAAAGCCTATTAAATATATATATATATATATATATATAAAATAAAATATATATAATTAAAGCCAAACAACAGCCCCTCTCTTGCAGCTGTGGCTATTCACACAGGCTTGGCTTAGGTTGGCACAGCAGCACCCACCCTCAGATTCCCAAAAAAGCATCCCAAAGGACCTATTCCAGTGTCAGGACAGCCACCAGGTGTGGCACAGGAACATTTCTGCTTTCTTGCACACTGGCAGGAAGCTTTGCTCCTCCTCTGGATTCCTCTGGACTCTGGAAATGGGAGGATAAACCCATCAGCCACCGCCTGGGTGTGTGAATTGCTCCTGCAGAGCTGGCCCTGCCCTGGGGGTCACACAAACCTGCAGAGCCTTGAGGGGAGCCTGGCAGCCTGAGCTGCCTTTGGTGTCACAGGGACTGCTGCAGAGCACAAATCCACAGCTACAGGCACTCACATCCCTCTGCCAGCCCCACAGCGTGCCTTTTCCTATTGGTTTTGGCCTTTTCCTATTGGTTTTGGCCAAAGGATCTTTCTTTTGCAGATGTGGATCATCCTCCTGCACCCCTGCCCGAATAACCCTTCCATGTCTCAGGACAAAAATGTATTTTGCTGCTATTTATTTTTATCCTGCTACTCCTGAGTTTTACTGCTATTTGGGAAGAAACTGAGTGTTTTCCCTATTTTTTTTTTTTAATAATCTCCCTCTGCAGCATAAGGATGGACCCAGCCTCTCTGCAGGCTGACCAAAGACACCTTTGGACACAGGGTGGAACCTCCCTGGGGCCAGGCTTCCCCACGAGTTTCCCAGCAATCCCCATGGTCGTGCCGGGGGATGTGGCACCGGAGAGGCTCCCTGGGGACACGCAGCCTCTCTGGGATCAGCAGAGCAAGGCAGAGCTGTGCTCCGTGTCTCAGCAGCTCCCGAATTTCCGCTGTGCTGCTCCTAATTGCTTTTCCCTGCGGGATGTCATCGGGAGCACGGAGCATCCTCACCCCGGAGGGGTCTCCGGACGGGAGCTGGTTTTGTGGGGCTGGGCAGGTGGGGAGGGCTCGGTGTGCTGTGGTGGCCGTGTCACACGGCTGTGAGTGTCCCCAGAGCCCCAGCACGGCGGGCTCAGCGCCGAACGCCCACTAAGAGAACGGAGAAGCTGCGGGGCGAGTTAGTTACAGAAGTTATTGACGCATTAAATATTTCTCCCTCCGCAGAAGCAAAACAAGGCAGGCTGGGGTGGGGTCAGGCGAAGAGTCCTTGGAGATCTGATTGCACCGGCCGCTCCCAAGGCTTCCATCCGCGCGGGACCAAAAAGGCAATTTTGCAGGAAGAAGACATGGCACGAGAAAAGATTTGTTCTCGCCGCAATGTGTCCCGCTGCTCTCCCAGCCGTGGGGAGAAATGCAGTTTCTCCTGAAAACCTGGGCTCACCCACCTCGGCTGTTTTGGTGCGAGGATTTCGCTGCCGCTGGACAATGCGGACAAATTTGCAGTCAGAGGATTCCCATTGCTAAAAACCAGCCCTGCAGCCCTTGGGGGTGAACAAACCCTCTTTCAGTGACTACTGAAGGGGGAGGCGATCAGAAAACCCCCTGCAGACGCCTCACTTTGGGTGCCCAGCTCCCTTTGGGGCGCCCAGCCCCTCCGCAGGGGTAACAGCACTGACTGACATTTCACCCCATCCCAGGGCAAACCCTGCCCTGCCCGGCCCGGCCCGGCTCAGCTTCCCGAGGGGAGCGGGGTGGGGATGCCGTCCCCGGGGCCGGGCGGGAGCCGCGCCCCGGAGCCCCCCGGGCCCCCCCGCTCCGCCGGCGCACGGAGAGCGCCGGAGCCCCCCATGCACCCCCGCCCCCGTGCAGCTCCCGTGCGCTCTCCGGGCTCCCCTTGCACCGTTCTGCCCCTTCCCGTGCATCCCTGCTGCGCTCCCCGCTGCGGGCTCCTTGCACCCCCTTTTCCCGTGCGTCCCTTCTGTGCTCGCCGGCGCGCTCTCCCTGCACCCCCTTTTCCTTTGCATTTGAATCCCTTCTGACCTCTCCCTGCACCCCCTTTCCCGTGCAATCCCTGCTGACCTCTCCCTGCGCCCCCTTTTCCTTTGCATCCCTGCTGCACTCCCCACTGCATGTCTTTTCCTATCCACCCCTTTCCTGTGCATCCCCGGTGTGCTCCTCACTGACCTCTCCCTGCACCCCCTTTCCCTTTCCCTTTTCCTCCCTTCTGTGCTCCCCGGCGTGCTCCCCCTGCACCCCCTGGTGCACCCCACAGTGATCTCCCTGTGCACCCCCTCTCCCCGTGTGTGCCCCCCGGTGCCTTCTCCACGCACGGTGCCCGCCCTAGCCGTGCACTCCCGGCCATGAACGGCTCGCTGGCGGGCTTCGGGGGGGGCTGGCAGCCCGAGTCCGTCATCATCCCACTCGTGTACTTCATCATCTTCCTCGTGGGCACCGTGGGCAACAGCCTGGTGCTGGCCGTGCTGCTGCGCAATGGGCAGGTGAAGAACACAACCAACCTCTTCATCCTCAACCTGGGGGTGGCCGACCTCTGCTTCATCCTCTTCTGCGTCCCCTTCCAAGCCACCATCTACACCCTGGAGGGGTGGGTGTTCGGGCCCTTCATGTGCAAGGCCGTGCACTTCTTCATCTACCTCACCATGTACGCCAGCAGCTTCACCCTGGCCACCGTCTCCCTCGACAGGTAGGAAAGGGAACGGGAGGAGGGGCTGCCTGCATCCTGAGGCTCCCCTTTCTCTGGGCAGGGAGGGGGCAAATTCCCCTGGAGCTAAATCCTGACTGCTGTGATCTCCCGGGGCTCCTGGGGGAATCAAGGAGCATTCCCAGTGGATGTGTGCTAGGAAGTCCCAGTATGAGGGGCTGCAGAGGGCTGCATGGAGACCCCTGGCCCCAGTGCCCAGCTGGAGGAAGGTTTCAGACCCTGAAGCTCAAGGACTGGGATTTATGCACAGGCCATGGCAGTGAAGAGGGGATGAAAAATGAGAAAGAAGCAAAGCTGAGTCCCTGTGCAGCTCTGGCTCTTCCTGGGATGCACAGAGAGAGCCCCTTCCCTCCCAACAACCCCCAGCAAAGCAGGCAGACCTTGAGGAGAAAAAAACACTGGGATGTTTGAGCTGAGACACTGATTTTTCCTACCCTCCCCTTCTATTAGCAAAAAGCCCCTTTCTGTTCCCATGCTGTCCCTTGTCCCATTGGTTATCCCTGCCTGTTCCAGGGTGGGTTTTCCTGGGAAGCCTGGTGCTCCTGCCTGTGCTTTACCTCAGTCCCTGCCTCTGCAAGGGCTGATGAGTTATGACCCTGCAGCAAGCGTGAGGCTGGGAGCTCCTGGTGCTGCTCCACTCAGTGCCCAAACCCTGCAAGGTGGGATGTGGGAAGTGCATGTGCCAGTCCCCTGGGAGGCCCTGGAGCCTGGCTGGATGTGTCCTGCCATCCTAGCACAGCACTGGCTGCTGACAGCACCCCCAGGGGCTGCCTCTCCCCCCGTATCCCATGGAGCTGAGAGAACAGATGTGTTGAGCAAGGGAGGGCTTGCACAAGCCTCAGATCTGGATGCAATTAAGGCACCAGCTAATTACAGAACTGAAAAGGGGTGATGTGCTCTCATGTGTGCCAGTACAAGGAATGCTGTGTCTGGATTTCCTGGTCATGTGCTCCTGCCTTTGTATCCTCACTGCTCCACTGTGCCAGAGAGTGATGGTCAAGTGAGGGTCTCCTGGATTAGGGGAGGGACACAATGGGAGCATCCCACTGTCCCCACAACCACTGCCAAGAGCAGACCGTGATGGGACAGGGTCAGGGGAGAGAATCTTCCTCAGTCCTTTGAGCTGCACAGGGTCCCTAAGAAGCACCAGGGAATCAGTTGTGTGACTAACTGCCCTGGAAAGCCCAAATCCATCATTTCTGCCCTCTGTCCAACCTGCTCCTGGCGATGCTCTCTCTGTGCCCTCCCCAGGACTGCAGCCATGTCCCTCTCCCTTTCCTGTGCAGGTATTTGGCCATACGATACCCCCTGCACTCCAGGGAGCTGAGGACACCCAGGAACGCCCTCCTGGCCATTTGTGTCATCTGGGGGCTCTCCTTCATCTTCTCGGGCCCTTACCTCAGCTACTACCAGGAGTTCCAGCTGGCCAACCTGACTGTCTGCCACCCCATCTGGGAGATCTCGCAGCGCAAGGTCATGGACATCTGCACCTTCATCTTCAGCTACATCATCCCCGTGCTCATCCTGAGCCTCACCTACGTGCGGACTATTCGCTACCTGTGGCGCTCCGTGGACCCTCTCCAGGACATGTCGGAGTCCAAGAAGGCCAAGAGGAAAGTCACCAGGATGATCATCATCGTCGCCGTCCTGTTCTGCCTCTGCTGGCTGCCCCACCACCTGGTCATCCTCTGCGTGTGGTTCGGGTACTTCCCCCTCAACCACTCCACGTACGTGCTCCGCATCCTCTCGCACGTCATCTCCTACGCCAACTCCTGCGTGAACCCCATCGTCTACGCCCTGGTCTCCAAACACTTCCGCAAGGGCTTCAAGAAGATCTTCAGCTGCCTCCTGCGCAAGAAGGCGGCGCACAAGGTGCGGGTGGCCCAGGCTGCCAACACGGTCAGCACGCTGGAGGCAGAGCTCAGCGAGGTGACCCAGCTGAGCGAAGCGCTGCCCGGCCGCTCGGCCGCGCGCTGCAGGGGCCCCGCACAGCCCTGGGGGCAGGCAGGGCTGGAGGGGCAGCAGCAGAGAGCAGAGGGCTCCTCTGTCACCTTCAACGCCAGCTAGCAGAGCTCCCTCCCACCCCACGGCTTTGCAGTCTCCTGCAGCACTGCAGGCCTGGGGCCGGGCTACGTTTTGGGTTGAAATGGGTGCAGTTGAACCCTTTTCATTCAAATGCACCCAGATATCATTACTGTGGTGCTGCTGATACAAACTAAGCCAAGAACCAGCCAAGGATAGGATTTGCTTCCACCAAGCACTTGCTGAGAGGAGAGAGATCAAACCCAAAAATCCACTGCCATGTGTAAGCACCTGCTCCTCTGTCATGGATGGACTTACTCCCTGTTGCATCTACACCCGGAGCCTGTGAAAAGCTCTGGCCCCTCTAACCAGCACAGCATCTGGAGCTTGTGGAAGCACTTTTAGGGGCATTTGGAAAGTCTTGGTTTGTTTGTGTCCTGGTTTAGGAGCTGCATCCCGGGGCAGCGCTGGGCACAAACCCAGCTCAGGTAGGAAAATCCAGGAGTGAAGCACAGAGGGTCACCAAGGACCAGTGGGAAGGGAGGTTGTTTGCCAGGGAAGCACAGCCATGCACCTATGGTAGGAGGATTTTAATGCCTTTGCACAGCTTGGGGACAGCTCAGCATCTCAAGCAGGCAAGGTGCTCGTGGAGACAAGCAGGGCACTGACACTGAGGTGGGACAGCCAGGGCTGTGTGAGAGCTGGGGGTGCCCAGCAAGCCCGGGAATAAATAAAGCCCCTCCACCCCACCTGCCGTGTCCAGCTCCTTTGGGAAGCCCCACAGCTGCAGGAGAGGAGAGGCTGGGGGGTGGTGGGTCCTGCTGGATGCAGGGAAGCCGAGGGGGATGGAGGATGTGGGTGATGCCCGAGCATCCCTGGAGGGGGGCACTGCAGCACGGGAATGTCACTGCACCCGCTGAGTGCAGCTGCCCACAAGAGGCTGCTGTGATTCACACTCCCACCTCTCAGCCCTGCAAAGGCTCCACGGGGGAAAGAAATCCTTCCTTTTGTTTACCAGAAGAGCATCACGGGACTAGGATCAAGTCACCCTTTTGAAAACCCCGTGGCAGAGCACAGCCAGAGGTGGTGGCCAAAGTGCAGGATGAGCTGTGCTGTGCATCCCTACAATTCCCAGCTGTGAACCCAAACAGTCCCCATGAAGGTCAGGTCTCTGTAAACAGCCATTACAGAGGCTCTAAGTCTGTCTGCACAGATTTCACTGTTGTGAATCCCCACGGCAGAGCTCCCCAGGGCTGGGGTGGGTATTTCTGTCCAGGACCCTGGCTCTCCCTGGGGGTCTGGTCCTGACAGAGCTCTCCTCCACCCAGCCCCAGTGCTTGGCCTTTTTTTCTTGAGAAGCTTTTGACTATAAAACATTTCTTTTCCCCTGCTGAGTGTTATTATAACCAGATCTTCCTCTCCCCACAGAGAGGGTCATAAATTGGCCACCTCCTCCTATCAGTAATGGTGATATTTAGTCTAGTCCTGTTCCCAGCATAAGTTACAGAAAGCAGTGCATAAGCAGCTCCATTAATTACATCTGCATTTATCTCCCTGCTCAATTCTTCACAGCCAGGGACAACATTGAAGCAGCTGCACAAACACAGCTAAAAGCCTCCCTTTCCTCGTGCCCTCATCTACCTCTGCTCTGAGAGCCACAGGGTCTGCCTCCAATGGATCCCACACACACTGAGGGGTTCAATCCACTCTCCTGAGCAGTTATCAGCTCACCTTGGGGATGGAGATGTTGGCCCAGTGCCTCTGCACTGCCCAAGAGCACAGGTCCCTGTGCTGGCATGGCAGGGGGTGCAATATTGCCATGTCCCCTGTCAGAGACACTGATTCTGCTCCCCCATCCATCCCACCCCAGCCTCCCAAGCCCTGGCTGACTCTGCCTTTCCCTGCTATCTGCTCTAGAGCTGCCCAGCCACACCATGGCCACTTTGAAGACACATCCCAGGACACCCCTACCTCAGCTGCCAGCCAAAGCATCACTGTGGCCCCTCTCCCAGGCCGTGGGCACCACTGGCCCCTGCTCATTTCTGGTCACTGGTCAGCAATGAGGTCCCAAAGGGTGACAGTGGGCTGGGGGCAGGCTCTGCACGGCTCCCAGCCTGGGGGGCTGCACCTCCCTGCTGCCTCCAGCACCCCCAAATCCCCTCTGACATGCACATGGCTCACATGGCTGCTCTCACCCTCTCCAGGGGCAGAGAGGGGCTGGGTGATGGTCAGACAGCAAGGTCAGGGCTCTGTGTCGTGACACATCCAACACCCCTCTTCATTTCATGGATCCTCACCCATCAATTGACTCTCACTTGGCTGCAGGCTGTAAGAGGGAATCAGATCATTACACTGTCTACAGCAAATTCAGAATTAGAGAAAAAAGCCCCCTCCAGCTTATCTGACATTGTCCCTGCTCATCTGAGGAGGAAACCATCACCACCACACCCAGCCCGTGCCTTGATGAGCCCCCCAAGGGCAAACATGAGGTTGTGCTGCCAACACAAAACCATATTTAGAAGCTACTTTCCCCCTCAAATAACAGAGCATATCAGGCCCAGATGGAAAAGACAAAAGCATCAGGATCTGCTGACACTCTACATGCTCCCAGCTGAGAGAAATGGGCTCCTGGTCCGTTCCCTTGGGAGGTTTTATCTTAAATTAAGAGCACTGCAAGTCCCTATGTTCCAGTTAAAATTTAATAAAAGCATATTTAACTGGAAATGAAAAATGAATAGGCTAAACTGAGCTCCCATCAAGCCAAGAGTGGGCAGGGAGATGAGGGACACTTGGCTGAAACCTCAGTTAGTGTGAGCTTTCCACACAGATTTATCACTAGGGTTAGAGAAGTTATTTTGGTTTGTGGGTTTGTTTTCAAATATTTACTCTGCCAAATTTGCTCCCCAGTCTGAGGAGGCAGCACATAGCACTCCCAGACCGTGGCACAGCCCCCAGCATGGGTGCTGGGCAGCTAAAAAATAAGGGAGAAATGGGGCTCTGGCCCCAAAACCTTGGGTATTAGAGACACATTCCCTGTGTCAGGGCAGAACAGGAGGTGAGGGAAGGGTGCCAGACCCCACAGGAGCCTTGGGGGAAGGAAGAGGGGAGGCAGAGGGGGTTCAGCCCCAGCAGTGGCCCCTTGCCATGGTCTCAGCATGACTCCAGGCTCCACTCTCAGCTCTCAGAGGGGCACGAAGGGCTCAGCTGTGAGAGGGTCAGGCTGTGCTGGCCACCACGGTCGCTCTTAATTAACGTGTTGCAAACACATTCCTGACCATAAAAAGGCAGGGAGCACACGGAGCCCTCCCCTGGCGCTGCACAGGGTTGGACACAGCTCAGCCTGGAGGCTCCCCCGCTCCCACCCTGAGGAAGGGGTGGCTCAGGAAAAAACGTGCTGCTGCTCCCAAAGCAGGTCTGGCTCCCCACATTCATCCTCTGTGAGAGAGGCAGACAGTGAGGGAATGCTCACAGCCAGGCTGAGTGGGAGCTGGATTTAGGGAACAGGGACCAGGTGGCTCTCAGGTTTCTCTTTAAGTCAGGGAAATGAGGGTCTTGATTCCCACCTGGGAGCAGAAGTTACCTGTTGCCCCAGGGAATCACCACCTCCAGCTCCTCCTCACTGCACAGATATCAGCCCCCAGCAGCCTCCCACCCCCATTCCTTTCTCCAGCTGCAGCCAGGGAATCCTTGGGGTAGAAGCAATGCAGTCAGATACTGGTGCTGCTAATGGAGGGACCAGGAGGGAGTGGGATATTTTTCATCTCATCTCTGGCTGCATCTGCCCCCAGCCCTGGTACAGCTTTCCTGGGGCAACAGGCTGACAGCAAAGCCCAGAAAGGCCTCTTTTGGTGGGGACCATGCAGAGGCATTCCCAGAGCCTCTGGACAACAGGATGTGGCCCTATCCCAGACCCTTGAACGATCCCATGCATTTTCTCTAGGCTCTGGTTGGCACAAAAGCATCAGCTCAGGGAGGATTTCAGCTCCTAAAGCTCAGGTGCTCAGTGAAGCTGCAGGCAGAGCTCCCCCTCCCCTCTCCTGGCTTTCCCTGTGACCGTTCTGGGTGAATTGCCTCGCCCTGGCATCAGCTGTAATAAAACATGTTTTACAGCTCAGCATGAGTTCCACGCACTCTCCTCAAGAAAGAAATTCATATCAGACTGCTGCAGTGTCAGAAACAGATCCAGAAAGATGGAATCCAGCTCCTTCTGGTGAATGTCAGGGTGTGTATCCAGCAGACTCAACACTGCATGAAACACAAGTCAGCAGAGCTTTGCTTATGTATAAAAACACTGCCCGGCGCCTGCCAGCCTCCAGAGGCTCTTGGATCTGGCAGAGGTTAAAAACAGCAAGTACAAGATCTCAGGTTTCCACAGACATTTGAGATTTGACAGCAGGAGGAGGGTTTCTGCAGGGAGGGCTCTTGTGTTGGCACTGCATGGTCAGACACAAAAACAGTCAGGTGCTGGTCAAGACCTGAACTCACACCATGGTCCAGCTCTGGGCTAGGCAAGCCTGTCAAAACTGCTGTTTTCATGCATTTGCTACACCAGGCTGAGGAAGAGAAGGCCAGGGGTTCAGAAAGGGCAGGAGCTGCCTGAAAAACATCTGTCTGAGGAGGCACAGCCCAGGCAGGCAGCTGGGTCTGCCACAGCACAACCTGTGCTCTCATCCAGGTTCTAACACCCAACAGCTCTTCCACTGCTGGGCTGATCAGACCCCAGCAAACTCTGCTGTAAACACTGCTCAGGTGAATAATGGATTTGCTCCAAACTGCAAAGCAGCAGCTATTGTGAGTGCTCCTCGCTCTATGGAAACCCTGTATTTCCATTGTTACAGGCAAACAATGGAGCAGGCAGCAGGAGAGAGGGAGAGGGGAGCAGGAAGTGCCTGGCCAGAGACCACAAGTACAACACAGGTGCCCCAATGCTCTGAAAAGCCTTGGTGCAAAGTGTCAGAGTCCAGCTCCCCTATCAAAGCCTGCCAGGAATGCTCCAAGGCACGTGGGAGAGCAGCACTTGCTCTTCACGTGATACCCATGGGTTAAACAACG